TCTGGCATGAGCAATCTTTCCATTTGTAGACCAGCTGTGCTTGGAGCCTGGCCATAGTTACCTTCCTAATTAAGTTGCATATCCCCTCATTGCAAAGTCCACTTTTCTACAGAAACAACTGAAAAAGGTATGTTTTTAGCTCATGCTTTGGTACTCTGGTACTCTTTTCACAGGGCAGGATTTTATTCCAGAGAAAATTAAGCAAAGGTATTTGTTAGTCGCACATTAACCCACTGCTCCTGCCTGTTATCGAAGGTTTTCTTCTTACAGGTTTCTAAGAAGACACAAAAAGATCCTGACATGGTTCTTCTTCCGCAAGAACCAGCCCTGGCTTGTGCAAGGAAGTTGCAGTTTAATTAAACCAGTTCAAATGTAATGCTGTTAAATAGCTGTTTAGTACTAGCTCTGTGGGAGGATACATGCTATTTTGCTCTGGCGTGCTTTACTGTTTAACTGAAGCAGGTAAGGAACAGATGTAAACTAAATCAAAATAGAACATACTTCAAATGATATGATTCCAAAAAAAAAAAAAAAAAAAAGGCATTTGCATTGACAAAATGAAACCTTTTCTAAACAGCATGAAATTTTTGCGTACTCCAGCCTAGGGTGAAGATGCAGCCGAAGTTGGCACCTGTCGGCCCTGCTCTGCCTGTACCGGCTGCCAGCACCTGCCCCGCAGCCGGCCGAGGGGCTGCTCCCTGCTGCTCCACACGGCTCTCCTCTCTCCCTTCCCTGTCTCCCGTGCCCTCCATACACACCTGTTGGCAAGTTACAGCCTGTCCCCCATACCCACCTGTTGGCAAGTTACACCCCTTCCCTCCACACCTCCACACCTCTTCCACTTGCCCTGTTGGCAAGTTACACCTCTTTGTTTTATCACCAAACCAGCCCATCCGATGTAGCTCTCGCTGTCCCAACCTGCCGTGGTTCTGCTAAGCTGAAAGCCTCCTCCTCAGCACGGGGCCAGGCTCTCGCTGGAGGGACTTGCCAGCAATTCCCTGCTGTGCAGCAGCAGTAGTTAGTTGAGCCTCCAAGCCAGGCTGGCTGCAGCTCCCTTGGGAGGTGTCACCAGTGAAACAGTCTCCACTGGGGGAATTTCACTTAATTTAATTTGTTGCCAATTAGCATAAACTTTTAATTACTGGATCAGGCTTTGAGAAACAACCTGTAGGGAAACACCCTTCCTGCCCTTTCCTAGGCTCAGTTTTCAGCATGGACTCCTCTCCATCTGCCTCCTTGGTCTCGTGTCCTCTCGTTTTCACTCCATGTCACCGGCCCAGGCGCTTTGTGGCCTCCTGCTGCCCTGGGCACCCTGCCAGCCATGGCCAGTGCAGGAGCCAGAAATAATCCCCCGGAGCGTCTTGCTTGCCCAGTGCTGTGGCAATGGGAGGCCGTGACTATCGTCCCTCCCCAGAGGGTCACACACAGGGGCTCAGCAGGGGTATAAGAGATGCCAGAAAGTGTTTTAACCAGCCCAGCTCTCTTAGCCAGGAATGATACCCAGGACCAGCTCAGCCAGCTTCAGCCCAACGGTTTAAACTTGCGGAGCAAGAAGGGCTCAGGAAAAGGTTATTTTTTACTTTTCTTGCTTTTTTTGTGTCTTGTCACCCTTGGTTCTTTCCCCCAGATGCCAGCAGTGTGCTTGAGCCACAGCCATGGTGCTGCTGTCGTGGGGCTTCATGTCTCCTTCCACGACAGCGCCACCGGCACGGCCGTGCCACGATCCACAGTGACTCTCCAGGGATGAGCACTGGAAAACGCACACACTGCTGGACTCACAACATCAGCCACTCTGAGGACACCAGGGCTGGCATCCCAAATAGGTCAGACAGTGCTGGGCATCAGACCAGCTGAACCAAGACAAACTTCGCGCTGCTGGCAAACGTCTCAAGGGTCTGCGGCAGTCCCAGGATCCAACGGCAAATGTGCCAGGGAAGCCGCCTCCGGCTGCAAATGTAAATGTAAACTCGGCAGCCCAGTGCTGCGCTGGGCTTGCTGCTCTGCGGGCTGCAGGCAGCCCACGGCGCCCACCCACCGCTGCGGCAAACAAGGTGCTGCTGCACGTTGGAGGCCTGACATAAGTACAGCCATTCCGAATCTTAGTCTTTAAGCTTCCTCTGGGAAGTAGACACAGGGTAAGTAAGTGCCTGGTTAACAGAAGGTAGAAAAGGGACTCGATTTCCCCCATACACACAGAGTTCATAAAATCGCCAGTTATGGAATATCTTCAGATAGGGTGGTGAGCTCAGGCAGGAAAGACAAAGGGGCAATCAAAAGCAGAGAAAAGGATTTTATTTATTTATTTATTTATTTATTTCCTATGCATTCAATCCAAAAACATCTCATTGGGCAGTAATTGCCAGTTTTCTCTTCAAATCTTAGATCGTACCTTTGAGTCCCTGATAGAACAACCTAATACCTATTTTTTTCTTTACAAAGCCTAAGTCAGTTCTTTTTTTACTGATCCCTTTCTCTAAAGAGAGGCAAAGGAAGGGAGGTTTTTACCTTCTCGTTGTTATAAAATCTACAGGATACAGTGTGCAATACAGTAAGAGATGACTGAGGAAATTCAAAAGCACAGCTCTCCCACACAAGCTTCCTTCTGCCCCCGTGTGTGCAAACATTGAAGTACAGCCTCCCATGCTCCTGTCTGCATCCCGTGCTATTTCTCTGCATAATGTATTCATGACACTAATTGTATGTGACATCCACCGTGATCATGTAGCTAAAGGACATGTTCTCTATTTTCACATGCCTTCCTCTGCATTCTGAAACCCTCATTGACAAAGGCATTGATCGATAAAAAACAAGACCAAGTGTATACCTGTGGTGTGCTAATACCATGGCAAGAGGTAAAAGCAAACAGAAAAAACAGGCAATTCTAGAACTTAGCTGAAGAAGGATGACCCCATTTAGATCCTGAAAGCCCTGGGGACCTAATTTTGCTTCTCAGCTTTGTCACACGTGCCCTACCTGAGCTTCAGTACATCGCACTCCCCTGGTGCCTCATTTCACAATGTGTAAAGAGCAAACAGCACTTTCATCTCCCTAGGGGAAAAGCAACACTTCCTTCTCTGTGAGCCCATGCTAGGCTTTCCCTAGCTGTCCGCTTTATCACAGTCAAAAGCTCAAGGTAGGGGCTGCAAGCCCTGGGCACCATCACTGTGGTGAGGACACCTGGCACCACGTTACATCCAAAAGGCTCAGCCCTTCTACTCCACTCTTCCCACTCGTTCCTGATGAGGCTGCACCTGGGGTACTGGGTGCAGTTCTGGGCTCCCCATTATAGGAGGGACGTGGAGCTTCTAGAGAGGGTCCAGTGTACAGTGATGAAGATGAGTAAGGGACTGCAGCATCTGTCTTATGAGGAAAGATTAAGTGAGTTGGGCCTGTTCAGCCTGGAGAAGAGAACGTTGAGAGGGGATCTGATCAATAAGTGCCTGTAGGGACGAGGGGGCCAAACTCTTCTCAGTAGTGGAGAGCAACAGAGCAAGGGGTAATGGGTATATATGAAAACATAGGACGTTCCATCTCCATGTGAGTAGGAACTTCTTCCTTGTGAAGGTGACAGAGCCCTGGCACAGGCTGCCCAGGGAGGTGATGGAGTCTCCTTCTCTGGAGATCTTCCAAACCCGCCCAGATGCCGCCCTGTGCCCCGTGCTCTGGGTGTCCCTGCTTGAGCAGGGGGGTCGGACTGGATGATCTCTAGAGGTCCCTTCCAACCTCAGCCATTCTGTGATTCCCCTGCTCAGCTCAGCCCCGGCTGCAGCCCACAGGGACAGAGCAGCGAGCGAGAGACCTCTGTGCAACCCGGCCGCTGTCTTGCTTGCCCCACACTGCTGCTTGCTGACTCATTTTGTGGCACTTGTGGCTTTACTGAGGCAAAGTCGCAAGGCCAAAGTGCTCCTGACTCAAATGCACTCCCCACACAGTGAGCAACGGGATGAACTTTGGAAAGGTGTTGCAAGAGCTTATCCAAAGCGAGATACACCAACCCCAACTGGTGGCACGCGGACGAGGTGTTACGGGATCCAAACCCTGCACAAACACACACAGGAAAGGGTCGGCAAGGCTGCACCCTCACTCACTCAGATAAAGCACCTCTCTGGGGAGCAGGCAGCCACGGGTGGCACTGTGCGCGCCCCAGGGCGGCTGCCATCAGCTCCACGGGTAAGGCGAGGCCTCCAGGGAAAAGCATCCGCACTGCAGAGGCCCGACACAAAGCTCACATCCCCCTGATCCCGCTCGGGAAAACCGTCCTGACGTCCGGGCCTGCTGCTGGATGGGGTAGTTTTTCTCTACTTGTGCAGGAAATAGGTACTAAGGATGTACTGATTTGAGATTCTCAGATGTATTTATTATTCCCTGGTCTGCACCAGGGAATGTAAAGGCTGGGATGTAAAAGCGATGGCTGCTGTTGGTGCTGTTCAGCACCACTCGGACTGCGCCGATGTGTGCCAGGAGAACTAAGTTTCCAACTTGAGATTACAAGGCACCTGCCGCTTATTTCCACACTCCTGTTTTCTTCTTGTTTTTGTTTTATTTATTTTATTCTGAAATGCCCTGTTGCTCTTGCCTACAGGCAGAGGGACGGCGCAATCCCACTGACACTCGCCAAAAAAACACGTTTGTTGTTGTTGTTTTCCCCTGCAACTTTAGCCGTTGAGAAGAGCTTTCCTGCCTCCCGGCCCGCGCTCACAGCGCTCACAGCGCCCGCAGCGCTGCCGCTGCCGCCGCCGCGGCGCTCCCGGCCGCCGCAGACACCGCCGCTCCGCCAATGGCGGCGGCCCAGGGCGCCCGCACGCCCCTGCGCCGCTGGCTCCTTCCACCGCACCGCTCGCATGGCAACCGCGCGCGCCTCCCTTTGGTCGTGCCCTTCCCCGGCGGCCGCGGTGATTGGGTGGCGCGCCCGGGGGGGGGTGGGGGGGAGGCGGGCAGGCCGCGCGCGGTGATTGGCCCCGCGCGCGGCGCCGGCGCTACCACTCCGCAGGGCGGTGGAGGCCATGGCGGGTGGCGTGGGGCTGGGTGCCGCGGCGCGGATGCCGCTGCTGGGGCTGGGCACATGGAAGGTAGCGGCGGGCTGCGCGGGGCGCGGCGCGGAGGCCGGTAGGGGCAGCGCTCCCCGGCACCGCGCGCGGTGGGATGGCCGTGAGGTTTGTTACTTTATCATGATCCCGTGTACCTATTCACTCCTAGTCGCCCCCGGGGAAGGTGGCGGCCGCGGTGATGGCCGCCATCGACGCCGGCTACCGGCACTTGGACTGCGCCTACGTGTACCAGAACGAGCGCGAGGTGGGCGAGGGGATGCGGCGGAAGATGGCGGAGGGCGCCGTGGCGCGGCCGGACCTCTTCGTGGTCAGCAAGGTGGGCGCGCCGGGCGCGGCGCCGCGCATGCGCACGGGTGGCCGCGCGGCGGCGGGAGCGGGGCGCGTCCCGCGGAGCCGGTTCCGAAGGCGCTGCTGGCTTTGCTGAGCGCTCCCTTTGCACGTGCTGTGTGGTCTGTATCGTGCGTTTATAGACTTACGGGCAAACTACATTGCAGGAAACTTAGGAATAGTTAGGTCTGGCAGAAGACTGCCCTGTATATGCTGTCCATTTTTACCCAAAATCTGACTTTGCAGTCAGTAATGAGTAAACATATGGAAGCGAATCGCTGCCTACCATCACTGCATTCAAATGTGTGTATTGCCATATCACATACTGCTCTTACTATCGAGGTCTAGCTCTGCTGGTAGAACAGGCGCTGTTAGAAGACCCATAAGATGATCTGGTTCCAAGTTGGCAGCCAAAGAAGCTGGAAAGCTGCTCTCCTCTTCAGGAGACCACTCGAGAGCTTTAACGTAGCAGGAGGTCACCGTGCGCCTTGGCTCTCTGTCTCTAGCTCTGGTGCACGTTCCATGAGAAGCCTCTGGTGAAGGCAGCCTGCCAGAAGACGCTTGCTGCCCTGAAACTGGATTACCTGGATCTCTACCTCATGCACTGGCCCATGGGCTTGAAGGTATGGTGTGAATTTGCCCCAGTCAAGAAAGATCATGCATTTCTTGTGTGTACCAGCATTGCATCTGCACTTCCACGCAAGCGGCAAGTTTTGTCTCCACAAAATACAAAATGTGTATTGTGGTGAACCATCACATAGTTGACTCTGATGGAAGTAAATGTCTTCATTGGTTAGTTGCTGGAAAAAAAAGTGCAATAACTCCTTTCTTGTTCATGTGGAGTAACTGAAGAATATAGACAAAGTTAAATATATTTTCTGCACTAGACTTTTTTTGTTTGCATTTGTTTTTTGTTTTGTTTTGTCATAGGCGTAAGCTGTCATGACATTAAGCTAGCTTCCAAACAGATTGGTTCAAGCAGTTTTCTCTCATGTTACCAGACAGGAGATCAGCTGTTTCCTATGGATGGTAAAGGCATGGCTATACCCAGCGACACTGATATTCTGGATACATGGGAGGTAAGCTGAGCCATCGTGGGAGAACAGTGTTTTCTGTCTTGCAGTCTTTTCCATGTTCTCATTACCTTCAGCAGTTGCAGAATAGTCTCACGGATGCAGAATTACTGGAAAGAAAGACTTAATGGCTCAAAAGTTGGCTCTTGTTTTCCACATGGTATTACTTCCATAGCCGTAAAGAATGGGACTTTAGTCCTGTGTGAGCCTTGAGAAAGGCTTAGCTTGTGCATGCCAGTGTTCCTATTTTTCTCAGAAAATCAAGAGCAGCCTTTCAATGTCCAAAAAATCATTATGGTCATTCTCATGAACTGAAGTAAGCCATATTGGGAAGAATCTCTTCTTCAGGTCATGTCTAGTACTTCTGATGATGAGTTTGTCCTTTTTTTCAATGATGATTTTTGCCCTTTCTGTGTTAGGCCATGGAAGAGCTGGTGGATGCTGGTCTGGTCAAAGCCATTGGAATCTCCAATTTCAACCGTGAGCAGATTGAGAGACTCTTGAACAAGCCAGGACTGAAACACAAGCCTGTAAATAACCAGGTAGGCTGCTGTGTTCCAGCAGGTGAATGCACTTCCAGGATTATCAGTGAATGCTCTTCAAGGATTATCAAGATCTGATTACAGTCAAATGAGGATTTAGAAAAAGAGAGTATGGAGTGGACACAGTAGGTTCTCTAAATCCCACCATAGGAGACACAAACCCCAGAATGTCTTTTTTTGTTGTTGTTGTTTTTTGTTTTGTTTTTAACTTGCTGAACCACTGTTGTCATATGCTGGAGCAGCTGTATAGGTTGTCTTTTTTTTCTTTTTTTTTTTTTTAATTATAATGAATACAAGGATGAGCTCTGATCCTGTGGTTGTATGCAACCATTTTTTTTTTTTTTAATCCTTTCAGCAAAATTACACTAAGCCCTCATGTGCTTTAAACTTGGCATCCTACAGCGTTCTAGCTTTGTGTTATTGCACAAGGTATGATAAAGGCAGTGTGTAAATGGAGTAGAGCAGCACAGGAATTTTTCAGCCGCTACCGGTGTTTGCTTTTGTGTTGGCAGATTGAATGCCATCCATACCTTACCCAGGAGAAGCTGATCAACTATTGCCAATCCAAAGGGATTGCTGTGACAGCATACTGTCCCCTTGGGCGCCCTGACAGGTAATGTCCAATCTACAAGTGAGTTAGCACATTTTAAACTTGAAGCCTTCAGACAAACTGAATGAGCAATGCTGTGGATGCCTCTCTGTAATTCTGACTCTTTCTAGGTAGAATCTTTCTGCAGAGGCCCGCACTGTCTCTTTTTTCCTCAGTAGAACTGAAGGCTCCTCTGACGTACTTCTCGATGACCCCAAGATTAAAGAGATTGCAGCCAAGCACAGCAAAACCCCAGCCCAGGTAGGCAAGAGCAGTATGATGGATCTCGGTTCCTGGGACAAAGCTGTGCTTAAGGGAGGGGTGCATGCGAACCTCTGCCTTGCGAAATGCGCTTCTCTTCTTCGATGTTCAGTAGCAGTGCAGGTTAGATGGGAGAGGAGAAAGGAGACCCTGTGGGTACTACCAGCTCCCTCTTTACTCTTTTGGCAGTGCTATCTAAGCCTCAAATACAGCAGAGACATCTGCTTTCTGATTCAGTGGTCTCTTCTTGCAGGTTCTCCTTCGATTTCAGATCCAGAGAAATGTGGCTGTAATTCCCAAATCTGTCACACCAGAGCGTATTGTGGAGAACTCCAAGGTGGGTGGTTACAGGCAACCAGGGTGCTGCCCTTCAGGGATGGCAGTCCTTGCCCCTGCAGAGCAAGTAGCGATCCTTACTTACCTTCCCAAATCCTTTTCACAGAGGAAAACCTGGCTTTTTCTCTCTGCAAGTTTACTTAACGTCTAGTGAGGGCTAAACTAGCAGCTGCAGTTCACAGAACAGAAATTAGCAGAGCTCCTAGAAACAGTAAAGGTAACCTTAGCAGTCACCTTAGGTGATGCTTCTCTATGAGTTCAGCTATCCCTGACTGACATTGGATGTCAGGATTTCAGACATTACCTGTCTGGATTAACAGGTTAAAGGAAGTTCTTCAAGTGTTCCTTTAGAGTAGGACAGATACAGGAAGCCTCTGCAGATGTAGGTGTGCTGCAATACTAACTGCCACCCCAGCTTCAGGGAACAGCAAACACATTGCCTGAAACTTGGGCAGGAGGAAAGGCAAGTGATCTCCCTCTGCCAGTGGAGTCTTGGCCGCATGCAAAAGAGAAAGTGAAAATAATTCCGTAGGCATCTCCATCAGTTAGGACCAGCACCCCTCCAGGGTGGACTTGCTCATGAATCTTGTGAATCTCAAATCTTTGAGGTTCTCCAAGAGATGACCTCTAGCTATCTCTCCTGTTAGGTGTTTGACTTTGAACTGACTGAAGAGGAGATGGCAGCCATTTTCGGCTTGAACAGAAACTGGAGAATCTGTGAAATGGTCATGTAAGTGACAGCTTGTTTTTCAGCTCTTTAATTCTGAGTATTCTCTACTAGAAATGTGCTTAAACTCAAAGGTATGATTTTGAAGCTACTTTGACTATTTTGAAGCTTTGACAAATAGTTTTGACATCATAAAGTCAAATTACAGATGGTTCACCTTAAAAACTTTTTTTTTTTGTATTTTCACTGTATTGACAAAACGATGAGCATTAAGTCATACAATATATTCACTTCTTCGGGAAACTTTCGGTTACTGGAATTCCAACAGAAAAATTTTAATTGATTATTTCGGCTATGTCATATTAGCCACGAGGGTATGGCAGGCTTGGATTTACTGTCACTTTCTCTTATACTGAATTTCTTTTAAAAACTGAAAGCATATTTTTCACAGGTGGTTGTGGGAAGTAACGACTGTCTGAAGTGCAATATAAGGAACAAATGCTTGCAGATATGCAGCTTGGAGGGCTGTATCCAAATATGGATACAGAATCCATATTTGTTGCAGAAAGGCCATGGAAACTGTATTTCACGCAGTAGACAGTGACTTGGTCATACCACCATTGAAGAGCTAGTGCCTGAGTTAACACAAAAGGTCTTGGGAATTTGCTGGTAACGTGTGCCATTTTCACACAAAAAAAAACCAGTTGAGGATATACATAACTGGAAGCATCCAGTACAGTTCTGCATAGAATTTTTCAGCCATGTGAATAATCTCTCCTCTGTGATATCCTTCAGGTGCAAAACTCACAAGGAATACCCATTCAATGCGGAATACTGAGGACAGCTTTATCCTGATCTTCCCCAGACCTCTGGGATCTAACGAGCTTCTACTGTGGCCTAGAGCTGTTCACTTCACAGCTTGCCTGCTATATCAATCCTGCTGCTGCTAGCAAAGACACAGCACATGTACCTAGTGCCTGTCTGTCTGTCGTCTTTGGTGGACGAACGTAATAAAATTCTTCTAAAGAACAAAATGTGGGTTGTTCAAGTTCTCTGCTCATTCAATTAATGTCTTTGCCTGGCTAGAATCACTAACTGAAAAACACAGCGATGTTCTTAATTGTCAGTTGGTGTTGACCATGTCTTGCATCACCATTACTTAAGATGGCAGGGTCAGGATATGTAAGAGCAGGAGAAAGATCCATCTGGAAGAATAATTTGAACTACATAATCACTGTCTGAAGATGAGATAACTGCAAACTTCACTGCTTGTGGGCACAACCTGAAACTTGTTTTTAAAGAAGAGTGAGAAGGGCATTAAGACCTGCAGTTCATACGAACTCATACTTAATAGGTTGAGCCCTTTTTTTAACCAAACTTTCTTCTGTGTATCAAAACTGAACAGAGAAGGGTGTTTGCATTCTCTCCAAACCAAAATATTGTCAGATTATCAACAGTATAGAAGTTATGCTCTTCTAGGGGTGTGGGTATTGACAAACCAGAGTGCAAAAGTGCAATAAGATTGGGCTGACATTACACTGCCAACAACGGGATAGAATAAGCTTCAATACAGGCAACAGGAGCCCAATACTGAAAACTGATGGAAATCTATACTATATTACTGTAGACTGATCTGATTACTGGCCTGGGCTGTTGTTTATAAAAGCCAACAGTAAAAGACCTGGGGGAAAACAAACTGCTATGAAGATACCTGATACTGTGTAGAAGCAGAGGGTACAACGCAGAACTGTGAAGCACTGGTGCGAAGCTGGGGCCTAGAGCCAGACCCCAAAGGTTTGGAGCAAGGGGTGGTCTCTCCATGCGAGGCTGCACGGACTCCCTGCAGTGGTAAGTGGGACAAGTTTCAGTTAACTATAATTCTGAACATATAAAGCTTCCCCAGGTAAAGCTTATCCTTCATGTGGTCCACTTAATGACTTCAGCTTTTCAATGGTTTCAGCTACTCTTTTGTTCCTCTGGGCTGAAGGTAAGCTTCATAAGGCAGTGGTAGGGTAGCTTTTGGGGCCTGAGGTGTGAGTATTTTAGTGAATGAGACTGTAGTAACAGCACAATAAGTTGTTCAGAAGAAAACTGTCTTAGAGGAGCCTCAACCCAATCCTTTGGGATGGTCAGATCCAAAGGTATCTGTGGTTTAATTTCTGGCTGCACTACCTGTTACCCTAATGTGCTTGGCTGAGTATAAAGCAATCCGCTGGCAACTAATCCAACAAGGGTAAAAGCTTGTTCATAGAATCATTATATTTGGAAAAGACCTTCAGAATCACTTAAGCCTTTCAACACCATGCCTGCTAAATCATGTCCCGAAGCATCCCGTCTACACAGTTGTTGAACAGTGCCAAGGATGGTGGCTCCACCACTTCCTGGGCAGCCTGTTACAAGGCTTCACAACCCTTGCAATGTAGAATTTCTTCCTAATGTCTAACCTGAACCTCCCCTGGCACAACTTGAGGCCATCTCCTCTTGTCCTATTTTTGGTAGTTATTTTGGAGAAGAGATCGACCACCCTACTACAACCTCCTTTCAGATAGTAGTACAGAGTGATAAGGTCTCCCCTGAGCTTCCTCTTCTCCAGACCAAATAATCCCAGTTTCCTCAGCTGTTCCCCATAAGATCTGTGCTCTAGCCCCTTCATCAGCTTCCTTGCCCTTCTTTGGACATGTTCCAGCACCTCCATGTCTTTCCTGTAATAAGGGGCCCAAATTCAAGGTACCAAGTACATGGGGTATGATCGCTTTCCTGACCCTGCTGGCTACACTATTCCTGATACAAGCCAGGATGCTCTTGGCCCCTTGGGCCTACCTGCTTGCTTACATTCAGCTGGCTGTTGACCAACACTCCCAGATTCTTTTCTCATCTACCACTTTCATTAAAAAGTTATCTGCAATGTTCTGTAGGAATCTCCTGGACTGTTTGTTCCTAGCTCTATAGTCTTCCCCATAGTTAACAGGCACAGAGGCCTGTGTTTGTGAGGCTTCCTGCAGCTGCCTGTGGAAGCCTCACACACTTCCTCTTCCCAGTCAGGAGGCCTGTAGCAAACACCCACCACACGGCTGCCCATGCTGGCCTGCCCTTTAATCTTCACCCACAGGCTCTCGACTTGCACTTTGTCCTCCCCTAGGCTGAACTCCATATATTCCAGTTGCTTTCTCACGTAAAGAGCAGCTCCACCACCTCACCTTCCTGGCCTGTCCTTCCTGAAAAGCACAAGGCCATCCACGGCCATGTTACAGTCATGAGAGCAGCCCCACCATGTCTCAGTGATGGCAATGAGTTCATGGCCCTGCAACTGCACACACATCTCCAGTTCCCCTTACCTATTCCTCATGCTGTGTGCATTTACATAGAGGCATTTGAGTTGGACTCTAACTGTACCCCTTTTTCTAGCTGGGGTAGCTGCAACTGTCACTTGACTATGTAGCTTTCAGTAGCTCTCTTGTTTTGCTTTTTTCCCTCTCCAGGCTTAGGGCATCCTTTGTGGGCTCTAGTGCTAATCTTGTATGAATGGCATGGTATGCCATCCCCTATCTTATCACCAGCACCCCTGATGATACCCCCCCATCCCCAATGAATCTAGTTTAAAGCCTTATCAATGACCGCTGCTGGCTCATGATCAAGGACCCTCTTACCCCTCTGAGAAAGATGAATCCCATCTGATGCCAACATGCCTGGTGACATGTAAGGCTTCCTGTCACTGAAGAACTCAACGTTTTAGTTGAGTGGAGCCATGTGTTAACAGACTGTGTCCTCCTGTTTCTTTCCATATTGCTGTCAAGACTAGGGAGAAGATGACCTGCACACCCAAGTTCCTGATCATCGGACCAAATTCCCTAAAGTCCCTTTTGATTGCTATCGGGCTACATGTTGCCACATCCTCTACGCCTACATGAAGGACCAGCAAGGGGTAGTAGTCCATGGGCCAAACCAGGCTGGGAAGTTTCTTGGTGACATCTTTAACCCGGGCTCAGGAAGGCCACAAACTTCCCTTTTGGGAGGGTCCCTTCTGTGTATTGGACCTTCTGTTCCCTTTATTGTGGATTCCCCCATGACTCTAACCTGCCTTTTATTCCTCCTGCAGGTGGTCACAATACAGGGGCTTGGCCTTTCTGACTCTAGCAATATTTTTGGAGGAGAGGGACTCTCACCTTCACTATTCATTAATCATCTTTTATCCTCCGGCGCCTTGTACCTGGTGCTTAGGGGGACCTGGTAGGATGAGACAGGAGACGGATTTCTCCTGCCACCTGGAGACCAGATCTTTTCCCATTCATTTTTGTCCTGGTATCTCCTGCCTTTTGTCAGCTGGCAGATGCATTCTGTATTCCTTGTCGTTGGGGACTTCCCAGTGCTTGCTCATGTTTTTCAGAGGCCAGAGCCTCACATTCCCAGTCTATCTCCCCCTCTGACTTCTAGATGCTCCTCAGCTTTTCCACCCCCTCTCCTAGCTCTGCTACCATGCAGAGGAAATCTTCCACCTGCTCACATCTCACACAGTGGTTATCCTTGCAGCTCTCCATAGGAGAGCTTTGGCTCTCCCTGACACCTGGATGGCTGCATGCTTTCCTGGAGGGCCAGCCCGAGTCCCCGCCTCCTTTTTGGCAAGTGCTGACACGTCCCTCCAACGAGTGTTTGCCACAGACCGCTTACCCCGCGGACTCGCTGGCGCACCCCGCCTCAGCCAACTGCCAACTGCCGCGCTAACTGCCGCGCCACGCCCCAACCGCCGCGCCACGCCCCAACCGCCGCGCCCCGCCCCAGCCGCCCCGCCCCAACCGCCGCGCCACGCCCCAACCGCCGCGCCACGCCCCAACCGCCGCGCCCCGCCCCAACCGCCGCGCCCCAACCGCCGCGCCACGCCCCAACCGCCGCGCCCCGCCCCGTTTGGCCACTGTCGGGCGCGCGCCTCCCGCCGCCTGCTCTCCCTGCTCTCATGGATGCTCATTCCGTAACTGGGAATACCGTACTGGAGCTGTCGCTATATCCCATCACTGTGCTGTTGATTATGCCTGGCTTCTTGCTGGCCTGGCAGCCTGTGCTGACCTCTGGCTATAGAAACACATAGTAACAGGGACTTGGGGCAAGCAGTGTTAGGCCCAAGTGCAAAGCCACGTGGAAGCAAGAGGGCGTGAGGTGGAATTGCTTCGTGTTTGTGCTGAGCAGCGCACTGCCCAGTGACCAACATGGAGAGCGGTGAGAGCGAGAGTTGCGCTTTCCCCAGGCTGGGCTTGGGCTGGGAATTGCAGTTAACTGTAATGCTATGTGAATGCAAGTGTGAAACTTGTCCAAATACAGCCTATCCATTCCCTGGTCCACAGAGTGGATTTTGCTTTGCAGGATCATGTTGTCTCGCGCTCTCTTTACCCCATGACAAATACAAAAGAATTTAGGCTAAGAGTCTTTGAAATCAACAAACAAAAAAAGCTCTTTTGCTTTAAAGCAGCCAGTGAACAAAATCTGACCCACAACCTCCTACGGTTATGAGGCAGGTATGACACTGGACCTCAGCAGCCATCCTACATCTTGAGGCTTCCTGTCGTTGATGGCTCACAGAAAAAAAAAAAAAAAAAGCAAATACTCTATTCCCTGCTTCATCACACTGCTGTGTTATATATGGTATTCTTAGATATCTACAAGTCAAATATATAATCTTTTCAGAGATTAATGTCATGTAGAAGAACAGAACGTGCAACCCCAGGGCTTGGGAAAATACACTGCAGCGGGATTGGAGGGGAGGCATTTTTCATGTTTCTGCAGAAAAATGCTAAATATTACCTATCATGAGTAGCAAAAATAACAAAAGGTTTGCTGTTCTTTTGATGGATAGTCTTAAATTAAATTCCTTAAATTATATTAAATTTGTCTTAAAATTAAATTCCTCACAAATGCTTTCCTGTTGCCTGAGCACACAGCACAGTAAAATGCAAAACTCCTGCCTGAAATCTTACGAAAACATGTGGAAACATCTCTCAGACAAGAAATC